GAGAGAGTCTTCCGGAGCGCCTGAGAACTTGGAGGCGCGGTGAGTGCGGGAGCGCTGGGCCTGGGGGTCGGCGCCCCAACCCGGCCGACAGGCCTGCTCCCAGCGACCCCCACGTGGGAGTCCAGCGACAGAAACATTAGGCCGCCTGCTGGTCCCGTGCGTGTCCCCTCTAAAGCACTATTCTCTGTTGTCCAATAGAGCTCCTGTGTCTCAGTTGAAAGAATAATGGCGCGTGGGGAACCCGACGTCCTGTGAGGCTGACCTACATGGGAGAGTTCTGGTTTCTATCAGGGGACGTCCTTGAGTAGCAGGACACACAGATGGCCATGATTGAGGTAGGCTGAAACAAGGTGGACTGCAGCATCAAGATCCTGTTGGGGGGGAGCGGTGGCAGGTGGCGTGGTGGTCAAGGGCGCTAGACTACCACATGGTCGACTAAGGTTCCAGTCCCAGACCTGGCTGCTTGCTTTCTCTCTCTCTCTCTCTCTCCCCCCCCTTCCCCTCCCTCTTCCCCTCTCCGTGTCCCTCTCCCTCACCCTCTCTGATCAAATTAAATATGAATAAAAGTTAAATAAAAATAATTCTAAAAGAAGTAGGATCCCGTTGGAGGTTCTCTCTCTTTCTCACCTAGAAGAAATAAGTAAACTTTTAAAAAAGAGAAAGGTTTTTTTTTTTTTTTTTTTGGGGGGGGGGGAGGTTTTTGCTATAGGGCACGAGCGCTCGCCAGAAAGACAGAGACAGAAAGCGAGAAATCACACACACACACACACACACCCAGGGGTGATGGCCACGCCATCCTTTCTTCTCTCATGATCTTGGGCATGCATGCACGCAGTCCCAAAGGGAAAGTTGTTTTTAACAGCTCTTCTTTCTCACATAGTTTAAATTAGTCTTTGTCTCTAATGTTCACATTATCTTTTCCACTGATGTTAGAATTATGCTTGTAAAGCTATTCTGATATGTTATTTTTTGGCTTAAAAATTGTTCATATGGGATCAGCAGTTAGCGTAATGGCTGTGTTGCTGAACTCCCATGTAGTCGACCGCAGTTCAAGTTCTGGACCCAGTGGCTTAAACTCAGGCTGGTCGTGTGTGTGTGTGTGTGTGTGTGTGTGTGTGCATGTGTGCACGCCCAAGATCCCAAGAGGAGAATGGAGGAGAAGGGATTGCAGCGTGGCCATACCCCTCACTCCCCCGGGGTGATTTATTGCTTTCTATCTCTCTGTCTCTCTGTCGAGTACATGCGCCCTGTAGCAAAAACCTTTCCAAAAAACCCCCGAAAACTGTTCATGTTTCCTTTTTGGTTACAGGTCCATTATAAGTGACCCCCACCTACCTTACCATGCTCAACCCCAATACCTGCCTTACACCAAATCATACCACCCATTGTACTAGGCCACAGTTCATTCCTTTCTGTATTCTTTATAAATTGCTCCATTAATATGTAATAGCATTTATTGAAAAATAAAGATGAAGCAAGAGGGGTATGAAAAGGGCCAGAACATGTAAGGTCTTGTGGCATAAAGAAAAGGAGTTTGAACCTCACCCCATAGTAAAGGTGGGGGTGAACAAGTATTTAAGCAGAAGAGTGGCATAATCTGATTTGTGTCCTACAGAGAACATTCTACCCATCCTAAAGGGAATGAGTGAGGGGTTGAAGTAGGGGTGGCAGTGGCTGGTCATGGGCAAGACTGTCACAAGAAGTTAAGTAGACCAGGTAAGAGAAGATAGTGGCTGGAATTGTTGAAAAATATGCAAAGGAATTAGGGTCTTGGTAGAGGGGATGCAGAAATATGGGTGTACACATTTAGGAGTTAAAACTAACAGGTCTTCCTGATTGATTGGAATGCCTAGGAGGAATCCAGAATAATAGTTCCTAGAACACAGTAGGCATTTGTCTTAGCCCATTTTCTACTGTAACAGACAAGTTTTTTTTTTTTTTTTATCAACAAAATTTATTTGGCTTACACTTTTGGAGGCTGGGAAGTCTAAGATTATGGGGCTGCATTTTGTGAAGGCCTTCTTGCTCTGTCATAACATGGCAATAAAAAAAAATCACATTATGAGGAAGCTCATGTAGGAGACAGAGGAAATCCAGCAAACTCATTTAAAAAAAAAATCAGGAACCGCTCCTGAGATAACTAATTTACTCTTAAAGGTCCTACCTCTTAATACAGTCACAATGACAATTAAATTTCAATGTGAGTTCTGGAGGGGACAGTCAAATGATAACAACACTCAATGAATACTTATTGAATAAATGAATGCAATGTCTGTGAGTTGGACAGCTAGAAAGATAGTGGTGCCATATACAGAAAAAGGGAATGTTTGTTCTATCACATACCCAGTTACTCAAGACTAGTGTGAGGGTGAGAATGACTGTTCAGTTTGGGCATGTTGAAATCAAGGTGACTGTGGTCACACCAAGTGAGAATGTTCAATAAGCAGTTGGATGAATGTACCACAATCTGAGGAGAGAGAAATATGTCCTGAAAATGTAAATTATAAAATTGATATTTATTAGTATGAATTAGACTATTTAGAACAGTTTTTTTTTTCCCACAGTGAGGTTTTTCAACCCATTAATGGGTAGTAAAATCAACTTAGTGGGATGCAACCAGTGTTTTTTAAAAATGGACAGAATAAAATGCAATATGATAGAAAATATCAGGGTTTAGAGCCTAAAATAAAGGTAAATGTAGTGTAAGTATGGGTTTGTGTAAAGTTTATTTCACTAATAGGTTGTGACTATATGTACTTAAGTGTGATTAGGTTAGGTTGCCATGTATAATAATGAACTTATTTTTGCCACATGAAATGAACATCTTATTGCATGTTGCTGTCAAAAATTTGAAAAAATTGGGACCAGCAGTTAGTGTAATGGCTATGTTGCTGGACTCCCACGTAGTTGACCGCAGTTCACGTCCCGGACCCGATGGCTTAAACTCATGCCGGGCGTGTGTGCATGCATGCCCAAGATCCCGAGAAGAGAATGGAGGAGAAGGGATTGCGGTGTGGCCATCCCCTCTGGGGGATGATTTCTTGCTTTCTGTCTCTCTGTCTCTGTCTGTCTGTCTGGCGAGAGCACGTGCCCTATAGCAAAAACCTCTAAAAGAAATTTGAAAAAATTTAAGAAAAAGTCAAAAAAGAAAAAAAAAATACCTAAACCATATTCAGAGAAGGTAGCAATGCCTACACTAGTTTGCTCAGGAGTAGCTAAAAAGAGGTGTATATTGGTGCCGAGGAAGAAACTCAGAGGAGGTTCCCATTGTGTTAAGGTTGATGTTAGATTTCAGAGATTTGAAGTATGATTTCAAATGTGTAATTTTCCCTCTAGACTAAGCAATTTGAACTCAGTGAGTGTATCTTAATCATCTTATCTCTAGCAAAATGCCTGGAACATAGTAGGTTGTCAATAACTAGTGAATGACTAAATAAGACCTTATGCTTTAAAAAGATTAAAAATCTGTAAGGAGAGTGATAGGAGACAGAGGTTTTTCTGTTTGTTTTGTGTTTATTTTTTAATGAAACCATTGCATAGTTTAGGTGAATAACGATAAAGTTCTGAACTATGCTCATAATGGAAAGAAAAGATTGGATTAAGTCATTTATGACTCCCAATGATCAGAGTAGGTGACTAACATACAGAGCTGGTAGCCAGCCTCTAAGATGGTCCATTGAAATCCTGGTATTCCATCTTGTATAGTTCCTTCCCATAGTGTGTCAGGGTTGGTCTGTGTGACCAGTGAAATATGGTGGAAGTGACTGTATGTTACTTCTAAGTCTAGGGCATAAAAGACAGTGTGACTTTTGCCTTACACTTTTGAATCACTTGATCTGAGGCAACCAACCCATTCTGAGAGGACATTCAAGCAGCTCCACAGAGAAGTCCATGAGAAAAACGGAGACACATTTTTTTTTTTTGAGAGGTTTTTTCGCTAGAGACAGAAAGCGAGAAATCACCCCCCGGGGGGATGGTCACGCCGCAATCCCTTCTCCTCCATTCTCCTCTCGGGATTTTGGGCACGCACGCACACGCGCCCGGCGTGAGTTCTAAGCCACCGGGTCCGGGACGCGAACCACGATTGACTATGTGGGAGTCCAGCGACATAGCCATTATGCTAACTGCTGGTTCCCAACGGAGACACTTTTTAACAGCCAACACCAATTTGCCAGGCATAGAAGTATGCCATTTTTGAAGAGGATCCTCCAGCCCCTGTCAAGCCTTCAGATGACTTCAGCCCCATCTGATATCTTGAGTATAACTTCAGGATAGATTGGGAACCAGACTGCTCAGCTAAGTTAGCCCTAAATTTCTGAAAATTCAGAAAAACTGTAAGGGATAATAAATGCTTACTGATGTTTTAGGCCATTAAATTCTGAGGTTAATTTGTTCACTTTCTATTTAGTCTAGGTAACTAATATAAAGGAGGATAAATGAAGGGAAAGTAAAGATTACCTGCAAGGCTAAAAATTAGAAAACTAAGTGCTTGTAAAAGCCACGTTGGGATGGGGGAGATAATGAATTATGTCCAGGACCTCTGTTTGCTTTAGGTTATCTAAGTGGACATGGTCATAGGCAATCTTTGCCCCCATCGTCAAAGTCCTACTCATGTTTGAAGACTCAGTTCAAATGTCTCTCTTCTGGGAAACTTTCTTGTTTTTCTCAGGCAAAACCAATCCCTGCCATGAATTCACAGCATATTATTGCAGCAAACATACATCTCTCTGTATAGCAATTGTCCACTTACAGTTATTGCTTATATTTTGAAGTCCCATTACACTGTGGGCTCCCCAAGGGAAAAGTCCATGATTTTTAACGTTTTTTTTTTTTTTTTTTTTTTGGTCTCAGTGTATCTTTCCGTGTGCTTTGAGTGTGTCTGGCACACAGGGTTCCTTAATTAAATGCTGGAGACAGCAATAATTTTGAGAAACTTGGTGCATGTACCTAGTTACCCATATATTTTTCCTATTTGTACACTTGAGCTTTTAAAGCAGTCAGGGCAAACCCTCCGAAGTCCTGGAGTGACACCTCAGCCCAATTCAGAGTTAGAACTTCCACACTCATCGGATCCTAGCTCCGCCTCTATGTGGGTTGGGCTTCTTCTCTCCTAAGCCCCGCCTCTACTCAATCTCTATTGGCTGGATGAAGAAAAAGGCCTGCCCATCGGTTCCTTCTTTAGGGGGCGGAGCCGGATCGTGTTTCCTGCATCTTCAGGCCGAGCCAGGCCGAGGGGACCCGAGTGGGGCCGAGGCCCGCGGCTTGGGTCTGAGCGGAGGGAGCACGGGGCGCCCCCCGCACAA